TGGACACTCCCTGAATTCACATGGTTTTTGCCACAAGCTCATGTGAAACTTAGAAAAGTATTTAGCTATGAGCACAAAAAAAGATGAACAAAAAGGGCAAATTTGGAAATCCTAAAAATACAGGAAAATTTTCTTATTACTTTATTAAAACAGACCAGAAATGAAACCTGTTCTGACAGTTTTAACACAACTCAAAAGAGATTTAAATGCTTTTACAAAAGGACTACGTACTTTAAAAATTTCAATAGTGTAATTTTCTTTTTGAAGGTTCAAAAATATTTTATTAGGCAATAATTTGGTTTCAGTTTATTATATTACTCTAATCATACAATGTATTTTCTGAATGTTTTATTAACTATGGTATATAAAACCTGACAATTTTAATAACACTTATTACAAATAAACACCTTCTATTCTTTATATTTTTTTCTAACCTCTTCATTAAATATACCTTTCCAGCAGAAACTGGATTCTTCTAAATGAAACAAAGATTCTTTCTGACTTCTTTACTGTCATGTCATCAAGGCATTATCATTTTATCAGCCACTTACATGAAAAACCTCCAAATTCAGGTTCTTAATAGCTCTTGCCTCAGTTACTTTAACAGATTCCTAATCTGTCTCCCCATTTCTAGTCTATCCCCACTTGGATCTGAAAAACATCAGCCTGCTAGCCAGCTTAAGTATCACTTTAACCACAATACGATGTAGTGCAATAATCTCAAATTGACTTTTATCCTATAAGCAGCGGAAAGCAAACTATAATGGCATTTAAAGCCTTTATCTTTTGCGTCTATTCAATGTGAATTCCCTCTGCAGTCAGGCTGATCTATCACCAGCTCCTACTGATGATGGGTTCAAGCTGTCCTCTCACCCTCCCTTCCTTGTCAATGCAAATTCACCTTCCCAGCATGCTCAGTTGAAAAGCTCATGTGGTTTTCAGTAATCATTACAGTTGCACATAAATTCTTTACCTGCAGAATTTCAACAACACTCACATATTGCCTGACCCATTGATTAGGCACTAAATCATACTGTCAAGTAATTATACATCTCTGATCTAATTTCATGAAGTAGAGCTAATTCCCATATGGGCCTTTATATGTGTGGTGCTTCTTAGAGCCCTTGCCACACAGCTTGAAACCTGGTAAGTGCTCAGTAAATGTGTGGTGAGCAATGAATGATCTGCCTCTTTAGTTTCTGTGTAAAGTCAAATATATTTCTAATTTGTGATGTACCTCTAAGGCTTTCCTCTAAAAAAATGAATTATTATTTTACATACATTCATGTATCAGGGGTCCCCAAGACCATCCCCAGTTTGAGGGATCCATTAGGAAGACTCCTAGGACTTAGCATAGTCAGACTCATGTCTAAGATGGTGGTTTTGTTTTGTTTTGTTTTTTGAGTAATCTCTACATCTAACATGGGGTTCAAACTCACAACCCTGAGTTTGAACTCTTGAGATCAAGAGTTTAATATTCTATCCCTGAACCAGCCAGTAGCCCTATGTCTAAGATTTATTATAGTGAAGGAAACAACGCAGAATCAGTAAAGCTAAAAGGTCCATGGACCAAAGTCATGGGAAACCAAGTGGAAGCTTGACTCCCAGTGGAGTCACCCACAACATAATTTCTCCAGCATCAAATTAGAACAATATATGTTATCTACAAAGGAAGCTCATTTGGGGGCTGGTCATACAGGCACCCTCCCGCTGGTACAGACCAAAATTCAAGACTCCTAGAAAGTATTCAGCATAAATTACATTGTTTGTAGTCTAAGCACAGGAAACACTCTGAAGTTTTACATCAGTGTAGAGAACTGGCACCATTCTCAGATGCCAGCAAAATGGTCTTACTGAGAAAAGCAGTCTTGAGTCCACTATGTTAACCCTTTTCTATGCAGTTAATTTCTTTAAAAAAAAAAGATTTTATTTATTCATTCATGAGAGACACAGAGAGAGAGAGGCAGAGACACAACACAGGCAGAGGGAGAAGCAGGCTCCATGCAGGAGCCCGATGTGGGACTCGATCCCTTGTCTCCAGGATCAGGCCCTGGGCTGAAGGCAGCACTAAACCGCTGAGCCACCTGGGCTGCCCTAATTTCATATTTTTATGGGAGAAATGTTACCGTGTTAACCATATATAAAAGGCATAGAGTGTTTTGTTTATTTTGGGGGGGGTGGCAACAGGGTTTTTTATTTTAAAGATTTTATTTATTTATTTATTTATTTATTTATTTATTTATTTATTGGGGGGGTTGAAGCAGAGGGAGGGGACAAGCAGATTCCATGCTGAGCATGGAGCTGGACTCCGGACTGGATTTTACGACCCTGAGACCATGACTTGAGCCTTAAACAAGAATGGGACACTCATGCCCGGTGGCTCAGCAGTTTAGCCCTGCCTTCAGGCCAGGGTGTGATCCTGGAGACCCAGGTTGGAGTCCTGCGTGGGGTTCCCTGCATGGAGCCTGCTTCTTCCTCTGCCTGTGTCTCTCATGAATAAATAAATAAAATCTTAAAAAAAAAAGATGGGACACTTAACCGATTCAGCCACCCATGCACTCCTTATTATTTAAAAATTAAAATCTAGCATTTAATTAGAGATGCAATGCCTAGACTGGCATCCAAGAATTAAAAGTTATGCAATTTAAAAATAATTCACATCCTTTAGGTCTTTCAAGTTTTATTTCTTTTTTTCCCCTTGTAAAATGAGGTATCTTTTTCAAACCAACACTTTTGCAGTTGTCAGGGTAAGTATCAACATCTTAATCGAAGCAAACCCTCTTGGATAAGCACCTTGTCTTCCCTTTAAACGCTGACTGGGTGCTAGAGCATTGTGATAGCTGTTTTCAGTACATCATCTTACTAAACCCTCACAACAACCCTATATGCCAGCGATGGTTTCAATTTTAACCAGAAACTTTGAGAGGCTGAGTAACCCATCCTGGTGTATCATGGTAGAGTTGGGATTTAGGTTCAGATCTGTCTCATTCTAAATCCTTGCTCTCAGTTTTACACCAACCACCTCTAATAAGGCACAGGCTCCTTATTATGAAAAATTTCCCTCCAAACTGTAGGGGCTTTTGTTTGTTTGTTCAGCTATAGAGAGCACTATTCTTAACCTTTCTGATTTTCATTAAGGCCATATTTTTTGTTGGAAGAGAAAGGAGTACGTTTAACCCAGGATACTTTGCTGTTTCCTTTCCAACTCTTGCAAATTACAAATCAAATTATACCCCTTGCTTGTAAAAACCATTAGGAAGTTCCCCGCTCAGCACAGCACTTAATTTTCTCCTTCATCGGCATCAATCTATTTGAAATTAGGCAGACCTGTATCAAGATCTTGACATTTCACATACCAGATGTGCAGGCCTTGGGAAAGTCAAAGTTTCTGAGTCTCAGTTTATTCATCCACAAAATGGGAATCCCTACCTCATAGGTTTGCTGCTGGAAATGAAATAAGATAATACAGTTAAAGGACCCAACCTACACGTATTTGCTGAATAAATGAGTGCCTGCATTACTGGAATGCCTGATTTCTGAGTAGGAAGCCAAATCAATAATCTGAGGGACAAAGAGGTAAGAGAGAAGTACCCTGACCACCAGGTGTCACCACTGACCCAGAGAGCCGGTCTAACTGGCAGAAACAGGGCGTGGGACCCTGCAGCAAACAGGGTAAGGACAGTCATTTGTATCTACGGGACATTCAAGAATTGGCTTTGGCTTTCCAACACTTTAAGGGCTGGTACAACATTCGCGGCACCATTTTAAGTTACACGGTCCTCTTACCAGTGTGTTAAGAATGATTGTAGTGGGGCAGCCCGGATGGCTCAGCGGTTTAGTGGCTGCCTTCGGCCCAGGGCGTGACCCTGGAGACCCAGGATGGAGACCCAGGATGGAGACCCTCGCAGGGCTCCCTGCAGGGAGCCTGCTTCTCCCTCTGCCTCTGTCTCATAAATAAATAACTCTTTTAAAAAAGAGAATGATTGTAGTGTAATTAATTAGTGGAATTGCCAGAAAAGATCTGGAAGCACAGTTTAATATTAAAAAGTATCCTTGGCTAACTGTTTTCTAATTCTAAGGGTCGATAATGCTTTATACATCCTTTGCTTTGGCCAACTGGCCATTTGTGTTTTCTGGCTTCTAGAGGCTTCAGTGTTGCCACCGCAGATAATTTTCTGGCCCCAATTCCACAACTCGCTGACCTTATTTCCTTTACACTCATAGGGATGACAGATAAAAAAGGAAGCAGAATATCTTTAGGGGAAAAAAAAATCTCTGAGTCGTCAATTTAGGCAAAATAAGCATTAATGGTTAACCTCTTCCCTTGATCTCAGGAACTTAAAAATTTTGTTTAAAGAAATCTGTCAATTTCCTATTTTCTTAAGAGACCCTTACCTTAGGGTAAACCTGTCAACCTACCGAAGAGACCTCAACTGTCCAGGAAGACAATCGCCCCTGGCTTCAGTGCGCCGCCTGCCAGCGCCCCTCCCTGCGAGTGCCCGGGGCTCCCGGCGGGAGGCGGCAGGTGCGGCCCCCCCCCCCCCGCGGCGCAGCGCCCGCCCCCCGCGACCCCGGAGCCCGACCAGGCCCCCGGCCGCGTCCCTTCGGAGCCCCGAGGACCGGAGCGCGGGGTCCCGCTCGGGGCCACGGCTCTCGGAACTCAAGCAGCTTCGGGTATTTTTGCTTTGGTTTTAAGCAACAATTCAAGTCCCACTTTGCATTTCACAAACATGGAAATGCCTTAGGAGAGGCAGAAGCATTGTCCCCCTTCTGCCGCTGCTCCCGTTCCCGGGGAATTTGGGAGGGAAGAGCAGATGCCGGGAACCATCTGGAACCCGGGGGGCGGGAGCCAAGCGCAGCGCGATGGGCCGGTCCGCGGAGCGCGCCGCGCGGGTCAAGAGGCTCCGGCCGGATTCCAGACGCGCCCCCGGGGCGCGGGGCTCCGGGGCCGGGCGCGCGGTGCAGCCCCGGGGCGCAGGGCCCACGCGCGGGCGCCGTACCTGGGGGACTCGGCCGTGAAGCTGCCGCCGTCCAGCAGCCGCATCTTGCAGAAGAGGACCCCGTTGACGACGGGCACAGAGGACAGCTCCGCCAGCTCGAAGTCCACCTTGAACTTGAACTTCTTCTTCTTCATCATCACGAGCGCCAGACGCCGGCGAGCGGGAGGCGGGGGCGGCCCCGGGGGGCGCGGGGCCCGGCGCCGCAGCCTCAGCTCTCCCGAGCCCCGGGCCCGCGCAGCCCCATGGCCGGGGCCGCGAGCTGCGCGCGGGGGCGCGGCCGGGGGGCGCCGGGGGCCGGCCGGGGCCGGGGCCGGGGCCGGGGTCGGGGTCGGGGTCGGAGCCGGCAGGGCAGGGGCAGGGGCAGGGGCCGCCGCCGCCGCCGCCTCTCGCGGCAGCTCGGACCGGAGCGCGGCGGCGCGGACCCCGCCCGCACGCGGGGAGCGGTCGCGCTGCAGCTCGCCTGGGCGGAGGGCGCCCTCTGGGTGTGCAGCCCGCCGCGCCGTCCCCGCCGTCCCCGCGGTCCCCGCCCCGGCCCCGCCGCCGCCGCCGCCGCCGCCCGTCTGAGCGCCGGGAGAGGCGAAGCCTGCGGACCGACCGCCGCCGCCTCCGCTCCACGGGGCCCGGGGCGCCCCCAGCGGCCACCGCCCGCAGCGCACCCGGGCGGAAGCGGCGGGGCGGCGGGAGGCCGGGCGGCGGGGCCGGGCCGGGACGCTGACCCGCGACGGCAGGGAGAGCTTCCCGCCTGCCGCCCGCCGCCCGCCGTCTGCCGCCTGCCGCTGCTGGGAAAAGACAAGCCCGACCGAAGCGGAGCTTCCTTCTACGGCCTCTTCTCGGCCTTGTTTAGGCGTCTGCTCCGCCTCCCCCCCCGCGCCCCTCCCCGTCCCCTCCCCCCTTTCCCCTCCTCCCCCATTTCCCCCGCTCCCCCCCCCACCCCGTGATTTCTGTTTTTCCGTTGGGTTTGAGAGTCACGGGTTCGTAGGGTTAATCGGAATCTTCGCGATGTTATTTTCTTCAAATTGAAATCCTAAAGCAGGAATTCCCTTTAGATGCTATGAATTCCCAAGGCTTGGAATATAAAGTGAGGACGAGGTAGGGGAAAGGAGAAGGACTAACTGTGAGCTGCCGGCCGGGCGCCCCGCGCGGCGCTGCTGGCGGGGCTCCTCTTCCTTGTCCGTCCCGGATCGGGCAGCGCGGGAGGGTTGACGTAATAGCGGCCTTCCAAGACCGGGCTGGCGTGGCGGAGAACTGAAAAGCCTGAGAATAAAGTCTCCCCAAGATGCACAGCAATTGCCCTCTTTCCAGAGTTAGGTATATGTTGGAGTACGTGTTGCCTACTTGGTTACATAAAGTTAGCGTTTTCATACCGAGTTATTGTCCTTTTACCTCAAAGACTCCTTTTTTTTTAAGTTTTTTTATTCATTTATGATAGTCACACACACACACACAGAGAGAGAGAGAGGCAGAGACACAGGCAGAGGGAGAAGCAGGCAGAGGGAGAAGCAGGCTCCATGCACCGGGAGCCCGACGTGGGATTCGATCCCGGGTCTCCAAGATCGCGCCCTGGGCCAAAGGCAGGCGCTAAACCGCTGCGCCACCCAGGGATCCCTACCTCAAAGGCTCCTTACCACTGATCTCTGAAAGCATGCAATTGAAGACATTCTTATTGCCAGTTCACTCATTTATTCATGCATTCATTCCTATAAAATAGTTTTTAATCGCCTAGAACGTCAGTCGCAGGTTAGACTCAGTGATCAGAAAACAACAACAAAGACACAGACCTGCCCTCAAGAATTCCACCATCGGGACACCAGGGTTGCTCGGTGGTTGAGCGCCTGCCTTCGGCCCAGGGCGTGACCCTGGAGACCCAGAATCGAGTCCCACGTCGGGCTCCCTGTGTGGAGCCTGCTCCTCCCTCTGCCTGGGTCTCTGCCTCTCTTTCTCTCTCTGTGTCTCTCATGAATAAATAAATAAAATCTTAAAAAAAAAAAGTTTCACCATCTACTCAGGCATATATGTAAGTCAGTCACTAAAAACCTGGCATCAAGTTGTGTTCAGAATAAAGAAGCAATTATGTCTGGAACTTAGAGGAGGAAGAAAATAGGTGAAGTTAACCTGTGTTCTGATTTTCATAAGAATGTACAGGATTTGCCTGAGGTGTTCCAGGTAGAAGAAATAGAAGACCCAGAGGCAGAGTTTAAGGATTGGGGCTGGGGGTCGATAGAGCTGGTTGCCCAGCAGGACAGGGGAGAAAAGGCAGTGAGAAGAGTTAAGGGGACTTTGGGGTTTGTAACTTGGACTCTAGAGATGCATGTTAATTTTATTGTCTGCATTTTGGAGCAGGAGGAGGCAGGGTGGGAATGGAAGTTATTTGAACTGCCTATGAGATACCCAGGGGGAGAAGGGCAGCCTTAGCTCAGATGAAAGGTTAAGATTGACAACATGGGGGAATTAAAAGTATTCTCTGATGGCTGAAGCCCCAAAGGTAGATACAAATGAGTTACTCTGATGAATATTTAATGGGGAGATGGAAGAAGAGGAATCTGTGAAGGTGCCTGAGGACAGTCAGAGAAAGGGGAGATCAAGAAAGAGAGATGGGAGAATAAAAAAAAAGAGCAATGACCCGGAAACCAAGAGTTTTAATCATTTAATATTCATAGTTATTAAGACCTATTGTGTGTCAGGCACTATGCCACTATGCTTGGGACTAGAGATAGAAATGAACAAGACACCCAGGGGCGTGTGAATGAACGGAAGATGGATATGCAAACGGACCAATGAGAGTGAGAGGGAGAGAGAGAGATCCATGATCCCCAGAGAACAGAGAAAGGAGTTTCCAGAAATTGCCACAGAGCATTCCTAGAGGATTTGGACTGAAAAGAATCTATTAAATTAAAGATCTAGGAGGTCATTGGTACTATTGGCAAGAGAAGTCCCCATAAAAGGTGGTGGCAAAATTAAAATGGTCTGGGAAGTAAGTGGAAGGTAGTATTGAGGAGTGGGTGACTAAAAACTATTTTTTATGACTTTTGTCAGTGAATGAGAGGTGACAGTAGCTAGAGGAGGAGAGTTCAAGCTTTTTCAATAACATTTAGGTACCATCCAAGATTTATTGAGAGCTCGTTATGTACCAAGCACCTTAATAGGTCCTAGAGATCTGAGCTGCAGTCCCAGTTCTGTATCTTAGGGAATAGATCTAGTATTTGTATGCAGGCAGTTGCAGGACAATGTACTGCAGTACATTGCGGTACAATGTAACATTGAGTTCTATCTGTATGTGATGGTGAACAGAGGCTGCCTTGGAAGCACAGAATAACCTCTAACTAGGACAAGTAGGTTTGTGGAAGAGTTTCTGGGGTAAGTGACATTGGCACTGATGTCTGAATGATGAGAGAGGCGGGTAGGGAGCAGTTTCTAGGAAGAAGCTACTGCATGTGGCTCAGAGGAAGAGAGGAAGAGAGACCCTGTCACACGAGGAAGTGAAAATAGTTCAGTCTAGTTGCACTTTACCGTGGGGTGTGGTGACAGTAGGCAGCCATTGACAGTTTAACACAGAGCAAAGTGAAGGGTCCTGATTTGCATTTTATAAAGATCTCCAGCTGGAGGAAGGGAGAGAGTCTAGTGCTCTCTTTTTCATCCATGGTTTACTTATTAAACACCTTGTATAAATTGAAGCCCAGGCAAGAGACAGACATCATACTCAAAGTGTTTAAATGAAGAAAGTTCAATTAAAAAAAAAAAACTCTTAGTGAGGGCAGGGTAAGGGACCCATAGTCTGTCAGGGAGCTGAGAGGAGGAGGGATAAATATCCTGACCTCTCTCACTTCCTGCCTTCTGATCTCCTGCTGGTACATCCCATGATCTAAAGCCAGAGGGCAAAGGAACCTGGAAGATACAGTTCATAGAAGGTGGCCTCCCCCAGTACCTGGCATGAGTGGGTATTCAATAAATGTTTCTTGAAATGCTCTGAATTTACGGACCAATCCTAAGCGTTTTACCTCTCAGGTAAAACGATAAAGGTGTTAGGCATAAGCTAAGACTACTTGTGTCAGAGATTTGGTAGTTCTTATAGTCCCCTCTCTATGAAAAGAAAGTTTTAAAAGTCTTCAACTAAAAGGAGAGGGCAAAAGACAATATAACTATACTGAACAACTAGAGAATAATTATATAAGTTAAAGTTTGGTTAAACTACAAATAAAAGAAAACTCAAGCAACAGTGGCCTAAATATGACAGAAGCTCATTTCTCTCTTAATTAAAGTTGGCAGGTAAACAGTCCAAAGCTGGTAGGAGAATTCCATGATTATCAGGGACCTAAGCTCTGTTTTTCCATCATCCTTAACATGTGCTTTTCACTCTGTGGTCTAAGATGGGTGCTTGAACTCCAGCACATTTCTCAATTCCAGCCAGCAAGAAGCTGGAAGGAAGAAAGATATATTCCCTCCCTTCAAGAGCACTTCCTGAAAGATGAAAACTCTAGTTTTACTTAAATTCTATTGGCCAGTGGAATGTGAACAGAAATAATGGCACTGATTCCAGGCCTGGCTCACAGAAACTACCTACACACGATCCTCCCTTTCTCCTGGTATCTGCTGGTTGGAATTTGGGGTCAAGGGAAACTTTTGAAGTTACTTGTTGAGGAGGACAGAGCCACTAGAAGCCTGGGGCCCTGTGACTGTGTCCCTTGCTCCTCCACCCCTGAACAAGAACACTTATTCTGAACTGTTAGGTGAGCAAGAAATAAACTTTACTGTGACTTTTTGAGGTATGTTTGCCCCAAGAGCTAGCATTACATTAATACAGCAATTTGTTACAGAATAGGGTGCCTTCATGCAAATCTAAAATTAGGCAGGCAATAGACAACAAGGAAACTATTATTAGGAACTGGAACTGGAAACCCAGGGCAAGACATTTGGTAAAAAATTTCGTGCAGTATTTCAGAAGGCAAATAAGGTGTGTACAAAGTTCATTGCTCTAGAAGAGTTTGGAAAATGAAATGTTGGTAGGTTAAGTTTACTGGCTACATTTAGCAAGATATTAGAAAAATGAGATGAGCTCATGCAATAATAAGCAGGTAGGCAAGCATAAATGAAAAGGAATATAGAGAGTACACAAATTTAGAGCCTCAAGGGATTGGAAAAAATGCTCTATACTTCAAAGAATAGGAAATAAGATTGAAAAATCTGGGGTGACTGGGTGGCTCAGTTGGTTTACCGTCTTTCTTTGGCTCAGGTTGTGGTC